AGCCTTCATCTGCCAGCGGAGGAGGCGGTGTTGGGATGAGTTGGGATGAGTTGGGATGAGTTGGGATGAGTTGGAGCTGGTTTCACAGCACCATCTGGTGCCCATGGATGGAAGGGCCGCGCGCATCAGAATGCACAGATTTCCTCGGCGTCCTCCCCTCCCTCTTCTCCCCAGTGCGCCCGTGGCTCTCAGACTGTTCTCTCCCACTGCAGATGTCGAAAACCCCTCGGCTATCACCGATGCGGCCAAGGTGGTGGAGGGGAAGCTGGACGGGATGGGGCTGAACCTGCTGATAAACAACGCTGGCATCTACACCCCCACGGCCTCGCTGGAGACGGTCGATGCTGAGGACATGGTCAGGACGTACAAGACCAATGCAGTGGGGCCAATGCTGATGGCCCAGGTACGGGTGAAGCTCTGGGGATGAAATTTGGCCCAGCGTGAGGGTATCCCAGGCTGTCCATGGTCACAACAGAAATCTTGGAGGGATTTGCCAAATTTCTTGTAGCTGTGCAGTGGAGGGCTAGGACTGCTCTTCAAGCCTAAGCCTTCTGCAGCATCTCTGAATTGTGCAAGTCTAATTGGGAGTAGGCAGGGCCACTGCAGCAACACCTGGGCTCTCCTGACATCCTGCTGTTCTTCCTCACCCTCCCTGGGTTGCAGTTGCTGTAAGTGGGACTAGCCTGAAGCACAGGTGTCCCACTAGGTTGCTTCTCCTCAGGCGTTCCTGCCTCTGCTGAAGAAGGCTGCCCAGGACAGCAAAGAAAAGGGCCTGAGTTGCAGCAAGGCAGCCATCATCAACATCTCCACCATCTTGGGGTCCATCAAGAAAACACCTGATTCTTTCTTCCACCCTGTCATCTCCTACCGCTGCAGCAAGGTATGGGGACTGCCTAGGCTCCTGAGCTCCATGAGGGGCAGAGCTACCTTTGCCAGGCCAGATCTCTATGAAACACCTGGCATCGAGAGATGGAGGGAGTTCCCAAGCTCCCAGGGCATCTCCATACCCACCCAGGGGAAACACATGCTGCCTCTTGAAGACCTGGCGTTGCTTTTTCTTCCACACCAAGAGGCAGTGATGGGAAGGGAACCTGGTTCATGTAGCTTTTTGCTGACCATGGATGATGCTTCCTTCCTCACGCAGGCTGCCCTCAACATGCTGACCATGTGCCAGGCTCTGACCTACAAGGAAGCTGGGATCCTGTGTGTGGCACTGCACCCCGGCTGGGTGAAAACAGACATGGGCACCCAGGAGGTGAGTTCTGGCCAAGCAGGTCAGCAGGGAACCCATAGGTGGCACCCAAGGCTACAAACCTGCACAGGAGGTGGCCCAAGTGGCCAAGATGGCTCTCTGGAGGGAGAATCCACGTGAAAATGAGCTGCCTCTCAAGCTCCAAGTTGCCCATGTCTGTTTTGGGCCCCTGCAGAACATGTGGATACTGTCTGGGAAGTAGCATCAGCACGTATCAGGCTGCTTGTTCAGGAGAAAAAAGAGGCTTTGGGCCGCCTGGAAGATATGCAGGGAACCTGAATCCAACAGAGCAGGGAGGAGAGGAGCAACACCATCCCATCCTGTGCCCCATTCCCTGAAGAACTGCAGCTCCATGAAGTTTCCGCTCATCCTGCAGGGTCCATGTTTTGCAGTGCGGTGGTCCCTGCTGCATTGGAGTTTTGAGAAGGCTGCACAAAGCATCTCATTTACAGCAGGGATCTCTTCCTGTGTGATTAAACCTGTGGCTCTCTTCCCAGCCCAAGCCACCTTCATGCAAAACAGCAGTGCAGATACCTAACCATCCTCCCACATAGTGGACTTGTCCCAGCTCTCCTGGCTCTCTGCTCACTCTGGGTGGAAGGAGCCTTGCTCTTACTGCAGATGAGCCAAGTGGGTGCTGCTGGATGGCCTGGAATGACGCTGCTGTCTCATTTTGCCCTTTGTAGGCTGACCTGACAGTGGACACAAGTGTGCGGGGGCTGTTGTCTGTGCTGCCAATCCTTTCTGAGAAACACAGTGGGACTCTGCTCAACTGGGAAGGTAAAGCTATCCCCTGGTGACTGCTCTCGGTCCCTGCAAGGGACTCCACGGTGGCACGGGACTTCCTGGTGGCATGGGTGCACCAGGGCGTTCAGCCCTCTGTGGTCTGCAAGGGACCTACTTGGGACTCCAGTGGGTGGGCAGGGTGTGGTCCCTGCCTTCATCTTGCTAATAAATAAAGTCAATTAGTACCTGTGCCTTCTCCCAGCTGCAATGTCTCCACCCAGACTGTCTTGCTTCTGGCAAAAATATCCTGGCATTAATGGTTGAACTTGATGATCTTGGTTTTTCCAACCTAAATGTCCTCTGATCTGAGCGGTCTGCCTGCCTTGTCTTCACCTTCTCTGAGCTGAAGGGATGTCCCATGAGACATGTAACTCACCCAAAGCTCTGCTGTCCTCCTGCTGTCCTTCCTGGCTGCAGGGTGTGCCCAGGTCCGCCTGGTCTCTGCCACACTTCCACCAAAGCATGGTGTATTTGCCATCAATTTCTTGGGATGGCTTTGTGCTGGACACGGTGTCTTTGGGATCAGGCTCATGGCTGGAATGGGAAGACCAGGCACTACAGTCCAGTTCTGCAATCCCAGGCAGCTGGGACAGCTCTTCCCACAGTAGGGCCCCAACTGGGCATGGTACCCCTGGGTGGGGGAAATCTGGTCCTATGGAGGATCACAGCATGAGAATGGTGCTTCTGTGGGGTGGAGATGCTGAGAATCTTAATAAGGTGGCCTGGGCAGCCCTGGACTGCATGAATTTGACCTGAAGTGGTAACAGCCCCAAAGAAATGGATTTTGGGGTGGTGTTGGGATTTCTCAGGAGGGTTTTGCCCCTTCTGGAAAGAGCTTCTCTTAAAGGAGCATGGCCAAGCCTGGTCTCAGATGGGCAGAGCAACCTAGCCTGCAGGAAAGGCAACCCCCTGCTCCTTCTCTCAGAGACCACCACCTTTTCTTTCTCATCTGGAGGACCAGCTGAAGCATCCAGGTCCCTCTGGGTCTGGGCTTTGCTGGGGTTCTACCTCTTCCTGGAGTGGGAACTTGCCTGCCACCACGAGCTTTCCTGGGAATCTTGAGGCCATGCCTTGCCTGACTCTGCCAGAGGAGCTGTGTTCCCCATGCCCAGGCTGACATGCTCTTTTCCAAGCCTGTGCTGTGATTTCCAAGGCCCTCAGGAGCCAGCACTGCCAGCAGAGCTGCAGAGAGCCATACCCACATGAGGCACCCACTGCTGCACAGGTGCCCCCTGCCAGGGAGACACTGAACTCAGCCTCGTCCTCAGGGGAGCTCTGAACCATCTGGGCTCTTCCACCTGATACAGTCACTTGGCTGTGGCCAGAGCAGTCAGTTCCCACTTGGGCACCTCCCTATCAGTGCTGCAATGGCAGCAGGAGGAGGGGAATCCCTGGGAAGGAATGGCTGAGGGACAGGAGCGTGGGTGAGGGGCCAGTGCATTGCTGTGCTCAGCCCAGTGCTGGCTCAGAGACACAGACAGGCCTCCCCCTAGTGCACTCCCTGCCCCTTGGCAGAGGTTCTCCTGCCCCAGTTATTCCACACAAGCCAGCTGGAGCCTGGCCAGTCACCACAGGCTGGTTCCATGCCCATCTCTCACCATGTTTCTCCCTTCTGTCCCACGCCATGTGCTGGATCCTGAGAGATGAGCAATGCCAGAAATCCCACCACGGATTCCTGACAGCTTACAGTCGTCGTCCCCCTTGTGGTCATTGCCAACCCCATGAATTCGTCACTGCTCTTTTGGGAGCAGGCAGGAGACAGGACTGCTGACAGCTGGGACAAGCTCTGTCAGCCTGGGACGTCACCTGGGATGTGGTCAGGTCACCCAGGGCATGGGCAGCCCTGTGTTCTGAAGGCAGGAGGAGGAGGAGTGGGAAGCTCTGCAGATATCCAGTCTGGCAGGGCTGGACACAGCTCCTGGGGAGAAGAACTAACCCCAGGGCACTGCTGGGCATTGAAGCACCTGGAGCATCAGTTTGTAGGACCCCCAGTGCAGTGTTATTCCATTTGGGTGCTGGGATAGCAGAGCCAAGTGAAAATAGGTCAGTTGATCCCATTTTTCAAGCCAACAGGAGACTGGGGCAGGATGACCCAGCTTGGACTTCTCTGTAACTGGGATTCACCCCTGCTGAGTGCTTTGCCTTTACAAGTGCAGCCAGGTGCTCTCCTGGAGCCCATCCTTCCACCCTCTGAGACAAGGCTCATCCCAGGGAGCACATGCTGGAGCTAAGCCACCAGGGACTGTGCCACCCATGGTAACTTGGAGGCCAGGAACCGCTGAAAACCTTAAGGTGCTCCAGGGCACGTGTTCTTCAGGAAACCTCAGTAAAAGGCCAGATGGGCAGGTCTCCCTGCTCAAATGCTTGCCAAGTGGCTGTCGGCTTTTCCTTTGCACAAGTTCCGGGTGTTTGTGCTCATGGAGCTGATTATCTCCCAGTTTCCTCTCCTGCCTGATGTTTCCTGCCTCCCTCCCTCCCTTTTGCTGATTTTGCCCTTTGTGTCAGGCTTATTTCCTGGCTCTGGGAAGTATCAGACCTCAGTATCCCCCCCTGCCCGCTGGGATGGCAGCACATAGCCCTGTGTCCTTTCACTGGGTGCACTACAGTGCCCCAGGAGACACTTGAAATCCCAGCTCCACTTGACCAGCTAGCTGCTCCCTGGGAGCACAGGCAGGTTTGGACAGAGTAACTGTGATTTAGGATCTGTCTGCTTTTGGCAGCTGATCCATTTCTCTTCTGAAGCTGGGACACAAGAGCCAGTGTTGGTTCCAGCAGTGGGGAAAGCCGGACAACCCCCTGAGGACTCTACTGTTACTTAGACTGCACAGGGTCATAGAAACATGTCTGGGGACTTCCAGAGGCCATGGGTGGGGAAGTTGTCACCCAGAGCAGCTCAGACAGCCTCCCCCAGCCTCTTTGGAGCCATAGTAACATCTGGGGGCAAACATCTCTCTGCTTCAGGGAGCCCAGGAGCTCTCCAGGCTCTGGGGATTGACCTCAGTTATGGGAAAGACCTGCATTTCCCAGGGTTTTCCAGCAGCTGCCTTATTCCAGACCCATAGCCACTGGCAAAGACTTGTTGCACCAGGAGCTGGAGTCAGGAACTGTGGGTTGAGGTAGGAGCAGTGAGGACATCGGGATTCCTGACCTGACTTGCAAGGACCGGGGCAAGACCCATTTTGAGAGAAATCCTCCCACACCCAAGTGGGGCAAACAGCAGCAGGCAGAGCCTCCGTGAAAAGCAAAGGCTGCTACAGGAGGAGAGGGTCAAAAAAAGGAAACGGAACGGAAAAGGGCTGCTCCTGTGACAGCGATGCAGCTGCGGAGGTGGAGCAGCAGGCAGGTCACAAACAGCCGCGCACGAGGAAGTGCTGGGACACCAGCCATCGTGGCCAGGCTGCAGCAGCTCCAGGTGCAGCAGATCTTTGCTGAGAAGGACCAGGAGGCAACCAGAACTGCAGGGACCTCAGCCAGGACCTGGAGATCCCCTTTGCAGGAGTCGCCAAATCTTCCTTCTGCCAAGGTGTGGGCACTGTCTGTGATGTGGGGGGATGGGGCAGCAGGATGGTCACTGTGGGGACCACTGCTGGGTGGCACCGCGGTCCTGGGGCTGTGAGACCTGGGTGACCGTTCCCAGAGCCCCCTGCAGTGGTGGGAAACATGGATGCTGGGAAGGCTGGACTGTCTGGAAGTGCATGGTTTGGGGGGTGCTGGGGTCCAGGGCTGCCATCAAAGCACAGGAGCCAAACTTGGGTCCGTGAGAAATGAGGTTCTGGAGGAGGAATGACCCGGTCCCTGCAGCATCAGGGCTGCTGAGGAAGCCGAGTGGGACCAGCAGATAATGTGCTGAGGCTTCCTCTGGTACAGCTGCAGCTGCAGGGCTGGGCTTGCTCCATCACTATCAGCCCCTGCAGAGCCCCGTGCATCCCTTCTCCCTCCCATATTATTGTTTGCCCTTCTCCCTCCCTTATTATTGTTTGCTGGGAGGAAGCAGCTCACCAAGTCCCACCTCAAGCTTTTAACCCACTGGTGCCTGCCCTGATGCTCTCCCCTCCCATCAGCCAGAGCCAGGCAGGCTCCACATCTGCCCTGGGAGGATGGTTTGGTACTGGGAGCTTGCTTCAGGCTTTACTTCCCTAGCAACCAGCAGCACCCCTTGACTCATCTCCCCTAAGCCACGTTGTCTCCCATGGGTCTCCCACAACCCCTTTTGCAGAGGGCAGATACTGACATTGTCACCTCTAAGGCCCTGAAAGCTTTAGATGGCAATGATTCCCTCCTTCCTCTCTCTTCCCCTTTTTAGCTGGTCGGATTCTCTCTCGTGCTTCCTCTGGAAGCCCTGTGGTCTGCTGGGGGGGCACCATGGAGGCAGCAGCTTCACCAGCTTCACACAGACTTAACCCAAACCCCTAATAAGGGGTTTGGAGGAAATCCATCTTGGGGAAGAAAACTGCAGCACTTCACCAGATTCGTTTGACAGGCTGGGATTTAATCAAACCCTGGGATCTCCAGAAGTGCTCCTTGGGGAAGTGGAAATCAGACAGAACATCTCAGCAGCCTTCTCCAGATTGTCATCTTCTCACACAACTGAGCTCTGCCAAATTATCCCCACTTCTCGACTGGCAGGGAGGGGACATCAGTGTCCCATCAGCACAAGCTGGGCTGTGCCCTCCCTGGTGATGACCACCGAGGGACACCTTTCCTGAACGTCAGTGTCCCGCAGGAGCAGAGGTAGGTCAACCACTGCCGAGCCTGATGGGGTGACACAGAGATGCTCCATGTCCCCTGTGAATGAATACACCACAAATGTTGATGAGTCCATCACATGCCCTGGTGCCCCCTGTGCCTCCCAAGAATAAACCAGAAATTTGCCTGCTCTGTTCCCTGGGGCACTGACACTGCCACACCTATGGATCTTAAAAAAAAAACCTGTTTGGGAGCACAGGATGTTGCACCCATGGGTCACAGAGAGGTGCTCGCCCTTCCTCCCACATCTAGGATCTGCCTATGCCTTGGCCATAGCACCCAGTCCTGCTCTGCAGGGTCCTGCCAGGGGTTTGGAGCAGGTCAGCCTCTCCCTGCCCATCCCACAGCACCAGCTGGGCCTGAATTTCCAGCTTTTGCAGAACAAGTTCCCGGGTGGCTGCACTTAGAGCTGGCACTGTGCCGAGATGCCAGTGTGCCTGTCCAGTGCTGTGAGCATGTGGGGAGGGGCTGTGGGGATGGCAGTGGGGTTCAGCCAGGCATGCCATGGGCTGTGGCAGGCTTCCTGCTGCTGTCTGCAGGATCGGAGTTGCTAGAGGGATCATCTCCTCGGTCCCCAGAATGTCAGCACACAAATATATCTGTTCCAACTCTCGACCCCGACCTGCTACCCTGGAGCATCTTCCCCCCCCCTTGTCTAAAGGGAATGGAGTTAAAACCCTGTGATGGCAAGAACAAGGATCCAAGCTCATTCTCATGAGTTCTCTCCCCCATGTCTCTCTCCTTGGAGCCAGGGAAGTGACGCTGGGGAGGAACTTGGCTCCTCTTGTTTGTTATTACAGGATAAAGTTACCCTTTAAAGCAGAGCCAGTGCTGTCAGGGCTGCATACCATCCGGGAACATCGCTCCTTCCAGCGGCTCCACACACTTCTGGTTATTGTGCTTGCACGGAGCCAGCCCAGCCCCGGTCACAGCAAGGGGGACACAGGTGGGGGGGATCCAAAAAGGAGCCTGCAGGCTCTTTTCCCACTCTGGGAAATTTAGGAGCATAGGGAAAAGGCATCTCTCTGGAGAGGAGAGCTTTTCTGACTCTGGGATATGTGGAAAAGAGGAGCAGAAAGCAAGGGCTGGGAGCAGTGAAAGCGAAGGGGGAACTGGATGTGGTTGGGGTGTTTTGGGGTTTCTCTTATCTCCTAGGATGCTCCCTCTGCCTCACTGGGCACCCTCTGGATGGGGCAGCCTGCAGGTTGCCACTGTGTGCAGGTTGGGCAGTAGCAACCATCACCACCCCACAAGTCCAGCAGCAGCTTGGCACCTCCAGGCAATATGCAGATGGGAAGAAGGCTGGCTTCTCCTTTGAGCTCCAGCCTCTGTCCCTGGGGGTCCCAAATCCAGGGGACCCCTCTCTCCTGAGAGCTGGCACCCCAGGAGGCACCCCAGGAGACACCCCAGCACCCCACGGCTTTGCAAGAGATGGGGTTTTCTTAGCAGCAGCCTGGCCATCCTGCCCACAGTAGACCCTCTGGAGGTGGCAGGGGTCTTGCTCGGGTTTGACTGCCCCACACTGAGCCATGCGGTGCCTGTGGGGTGGAGGGGAAGGAAGCTGACCCAGTGGAGCCGAGCCAGGGAGAGCTTCCTGGCAGTGAGCTCCAGCCTCCAGTGCCTTCCGTGCTGCTTCAGATGGCTCCGAGTGGGATGGAAAGCAGGCAGAGGGCTGTGTGAGCCCTTCCCAGCCATTCCCCAGCCTGGCATCCACCGGCTCTGTGCCGTTCAGGAGGCAAACGCCAGCTGGGGCCCTGACACCGCCACCTCAGCAGGGTGTCGAGGGAAGCTTGACTCATCCCCAGCAGGAGAATCTGAGACTTGCACGTGTAAACAGAGCTGGCCCTCGCAGCCAGGACATGTGACAGATATAGGAGAGACCAGCTGGAGCCACAGCCTGGGGCTGGTGGCATTCACACATGTGCTAGAGACATGAACTAGAGCTGGAATGGGCCCTGCTCAGGAGCATCACTTGTATGGAGAGGACGTGGCAGGATCCCTGCTATCAGCATGGCCCCCCTCTGCTACCCCTACCTCACTGGCAGCTTTTAGCAGCTGGTTTTAGTCCTGGTCTTTCTGTTTGACTGCCACTGCTTTCCTCCATGGACACCCTTCCCAGCACAAACCCATTTGGGCCAACAGCTCAGGAGAGGTAGAATAGCTACCAAGGCAATGGTAGCCTCACCACCTCTGGAAGTATTAAAAAAGCCACATGGTTGTAGCATCTGGGGGACGTGATTTAATGGTGGGCTTGACAGTGCGGGGTTAATAGACTTGATGATCTTAGAGGTTTTTTCCAACCTTAATTATTCTATAAGAGCAAAACTCCTGAGATGCCACCCCACAGTGCCAGCTTCAGAAGTAAAGTGCAGGCTGTGGTGTCAGGAGGTCTCCCTGTATGTTGTGCTGGGATGGAGAGAGCATGGAAGTGCCATTCTGGGACCATCAAGGCTCCCCAAGTGCCTGTTATATCTCAGGAGCAGAGATCACTCAGAAACCTCTCAGTTATTCAACACACTCTCCAGCATATGATTTCTCTTGGGCTTAGATGTGCCATGCTGTGGGCTCTGGGCTGAGAGAGCTGTAGGCCAGTGAGGAGAGGAGATATCACAGCCACTTCCTAGCCTTGCTTACCCTGCAGAGCTGGTTTCATTTCCTTAATCCCCATCCCAGCATTTTCTTTGTTGTTTTCTTTGGAGGGGATGGAGCTTTGCTGGAGGCTGGTGCTCTCTGCAGTGAAGGAAGCACTTTCATGCTCTGGGAGGCACATGGGTGCACACTGGCTGTTCCCAGGTGGACTCACTCTGCTCTTGGGTGTAGCAGGCACTGCTCATGGGAGGACCTCAGCAGTGGAGCGGATCAGGGTGTGTATGGGATCCCCTGCCCTGCTTGGAAGGACTATCTTTACATGCATTTGCATACAGCTCTGCCAAATTTGCAGATTCAGCCCTGCCAAAACACTTCGTGCTCCAAATGGCCTTTTGCTCTCAAATCCTTGCAGCACCAGCTTTGGGGCAATGCATTTCTACCTCAGCCGACTTGATTGGCCAAGCTTTGCTTCACCTGGTGCAGTGTTGAATCCTCAAGGCTTCTGGCACCTCAGCTGTGGTCCAGCTGTGCCAGTTGCCCTGCCACTGGCTATGTCTGCTGGGCTGGGCTGGTTTCTGGGCTTGCCCACAACCTCAGCCTTCCTGCTCAGTGTTAGACAACAGCAAAGGACTGTAGGAATGTTGTGAATCATGGATACTTTTGGAGTGATCCTGCGGGTGTGTGCATGAGCTGGTTCCTGCTGTGCTGAGGTGGTGATGGCTGCCTGCTTGCAGGAGGTGGAGTGGTCCCAGGGGACGTTCAGCCCCCAGACTGAACTGGGATAGTGGCTGGAGATGCTACCAACAACTTTCCTGGGGTGGAGAAGGGAGCGGGGGCAGGTGGCTGGTGGTGGAGAGTCTGGACCAGTGCTGTTCTGCAGCTCCTTACCCTCCTGGCCCATGCTGGGGCTGGACCTGATGAAGTCGCAGTCTGGATGTCCTGGCTCTGCTGCAAAGCCCTGACCCAGATTCCAGATTGCTGGTCAGAGTCTGGGAGAGCTGAGCAGCACCCAGTGCTGGCCAACACCGAGTAGGTTTGTGGCCACTCTGGGGGTATCCTGCCTTCCCTTTTCCTGACCCAGTGGGCAGGCAAAGTGCCGGGACATGCAGTTCTGCCCCATGGAACAGGACGAGTTGGGTCAGGGCTGTGCCCTGCCTGCTGCAGGGCCTGAGCTGGCCCCGAGTGTGTTGGGGAAGGTTTTCCAGCAGAGCTCAGGGGACCTGCTGGCACAGCCTTTCTGTGCTGCTGGCCAGTTCTTGAGTGTGGCCAGAGCTCCGGTGAGTCAGCTGGAGCAGCAGCTCACATTGCTTATGCTGCATCAGCACTGCCCTGGCTCCCTTAGCTTTTTACCAGGTTGTGTTCCCCAAAACCACACAGCTGAAGTGATGCTGGATGCTCATCTCTGAGGCAGTGGCAGGGATGGTGGCAGGGATGGTGGCAGGCTCTGTGGAGGCACCTCAGCTGCTCACGGAGGGTGGTGGCCAGGCTCTCAACACCCGTGGCTGTCCTGATGCAAGGCCTGGCGCCCTGGCCTGTGTGTGTTGCCTTGCTCCAGCGCAGAGCAGGAATGCTGAGCACGCAGCAGCTCCAGCCTGGAGCCAAGGGCTGGCCTCCAGCCCTCCAGAGAGAGGGGAGAGGAAGACGTGGCTCCAGGCCCAGCCTGCAGTGAGAAGAGCAATTTGGGCAGAGACCCGTGGAGCAGACGGCTCAGACCTTTCTCTGCACCACGGCAGGCGGCTGCAGGCAGCTGGCGCGGCTGTTGCTGAAGCTGCTAGAAGAGGAATGTGCTTGGAGTGGTCTCGGGTCACCAGGCTCTGGAAAGGTGCAATCCTGTGCTGGGAGGAACTCACTAATACTAGCAGGTTCTCAGACAAAGTGCCCTTGGGCTCAGGGACTCTTTCCTGCACCAATGCCCAGCTTCCCAACCAGACTACTGGGAAGGCTCCTTCAGTGACAGGAATCCAGGAGTATCCATATCCATGCTGGAAGGGTTAGCCCAGGACTATCTGTATCCATAATGAAAGGATTAAATCATGAGTATCCATCCATATCCATGCTGGCAAGACTAGCCCAAGAGTATCCATATCCATAATAAAAGGGTTAAACCAAGATTATCTGCATCCATGCTGGCAAGGTTAACCCAGGAGTATCCAAATCCATGCTGGGAGGTTTAACTCCTTCCTGCCAGCAGACACCATACCTCCATAAATCCAGGAGTGAGTTTTGGAGGGCAAGTGCTGCCAGAACTCGGGCAGGAGCCTGCCCTTGTTTTTGTTTGCCAAGCTGGTCCGTGCTGAGCAAGCTCCCAGAGCAGCCAGTGCAGTGTGCCAGCCCTGGCCTTGGCACAGGGAGTGCTTGGCTCCACAACCCAGCCTGGCAGGGCAGGCAGGCGTGTG